TCCCGCGCCTCGCTCAGCCAGTGAGCGGGAGCCGGTCCGTATGTGGGATCCGAACCCTCGGGCGGGAGCGCCACCGCGCTTCCCAAGCGGCGCACTACCCAGTGCGCCACCGGGCCGGCCCAAAATGATGAATTTTTTAAAAAACTGAAAATACCAAATTCTAAAATGATGTGAAGCAACAAACTCTTGCTGATAGGAATACAAAATGGTACACCTACTTTAAAAAATGATTTGACAGTTTTTTATAAAGTTAAACATATACTTACTGTACAACCCAGCAATCCCATTATAAGGTATTTACCCAAGAGAAATGAAAACTTATGTCTGCAAAAAACCTGTAGGCAGGGCCTGCCCGGTGGCGCACTCGGTAGAGTGCGGCGCTTGGGAGCCTGGTGGCGCTCCCGCCGAGGGTTCGGATCACATATAGAGACCGGTCCGCTCACTGGTTGAGCGTGGTGCGGGCGCGACACCAAGGGTTGCGATCCCGTTGCCGGTCACAAAAAAAGACAAAAAGGAAAAAAACAAAACAAAACTGTAGGCAAATGTTTATAGCAGCTTTATGTTCACTCACCAAAGTATGGAAACAACCCAAATGTCCATCAACTGATGAATGAATAAACAAATTACTGCATATCCAAACAATGAAACGCTGCTTGGCAATAAAAAGAAGCAAACTAATGACTGATACATGCAAAAACACGGATGAATCTCAAAGGCATTATGGTAAATGAAGGAAGCCACACTCAAAAGGCTATTTGCATGTTGTTCGATCCTATTTATGTGACATTTTTGAAAAGGCAAAACTATAAAGAGAGAAATAAGATCAGTGTTGCCAGGGACTAGAGGTTAGAAGAGGTATTGATACAAAGAGGCACAAGGGTGATGGAAGTATTCGGTATCTTGTCTGTGGGAGCAGCAACAAAATTGTGTAAGTTTTTCACAATTTATTGAACTATAAGACTAGAAAGGGTGAATTTTCTGCATGTATAAGTTATATATCAACTAGTTTGACTTTAAAAAATAATAAAACAAATATATACATCTTAGAGCCTCTAAGGGAAATATAAATAATTCAGGAAAGAAGAAATTTAGAAGTTGGTGGTCATTTTCCTCCTTTAGGCATTTGACATTTCGCACAGTCAAATGCCTAAAGCCAACAACATCTTTCTGACCTTAGGGGGAAAAAAAGAAAAAAGTCAGTGAGAGAAAAAATAAAATAGGAGCCCTAGAAATAATCAGCCAAAAAGCAAGTATCTATCTCAACTGACAGATGATACAAGCATACATCTGGAAAAACTATATGATAATTTAGCAAAGTACAATATTATAAAATCAACATAAAACTCAATAATGTTCAGAATAACTAATAAAAGAAAAAAATAGAAAAACAATTTTAAAGATTAAAATAATCAATAGTGTTCATATACACAAACAGAAAACCATATTTATAGAAGATATAATGTGAAAGACAGACATTTACAACTGCAATAAAAAGAAAAAAAAAATACCTAGGCTTAAACTTCACAAGAAGTGTTCAGTATCTATAAGAAGAAAACCATAAAGCACTCCTGAAAGATACAAAACATGACTTGAACAAATATGGAGACATACGCAGACACGTTCTTAGCTAGCAAAACTGCACATCATTTTAATGATGTCAGTTTTTCCTCAGTTAATAAATTAAATGTGATCCCAATAAAAATACCTACTTTTTTTCTGCAGCTACAAAAATTGATGTTCACTGGAAAGAACAAACAAGCACAAGTAGCCAGGAAAACCATGAAAAGGAAAAGCAATAGGGGCTAGGGAGAGGGGCACCTAGCCATGCCAGATATTAAAACATACAAAGCATCTATAAATACAAGGGTACTGTTAATAGTAGTTTCCAGGAGCTAAAGGGAAGGGAGAATGGGCAGTTACTGTTTAATGAGTATAGTTTCAGGTTTACAAGATAAAGAGTTATTAAGACAGGTAGTGGTGATGGTTGCACAACATTATGAATGTATTTAATACCACTGAACTGTACATTTAAAATGATTAAGATAGTAAATTTTATGTTATGTGTATTTTACCACAATAAAAAATTTTTTTGTTAAAAAAAGAATGGTATTGTCAAGTGAAAAGACAAGATAGACCAATGGAATAGTATAGGATATCCAGAAATAGACCCATCTGCGTATAGAAATATATGATAAAGGAAGTATCTTAAATCAAAGTGAAAATGACAGACTTTTAAGGAAGTAGTATTAAAATAATGCAACAGTCCTATGGAAAAAGATAAAACTGAATTTATTACTTACGCTGAATGCCACGATAAACTCCTAATGGAACAAAGACTTAAATGTCCAAAACACACACACACACACAATCACTACCGGTTAATTACTTTATAACCTGAGAGTAAAGAAAACTTTTCTAACTACAACTCAAAATAGACAATTAGTAAGGAAATGACTGACCAATTTGACTACATAAAAATTTTTAAAAGCTTTCACATGGCAAAACCAAAAATAAAACAATTTTACTAAAAATCTAAGCAATGGGAAAATACAAATGACAAACTCAGAAAAAAAAAATGCAACTCATATCAGTTAAAGGATCGATAATCTAATATATAAATAGTAAAAAGAAATAAACAGTTCACACAAAAAAGGAATGCAAATAGCCCTTATAACAATGAAAAGATGCTCAACACCATTCATAATAAATGACTCCTACAACTCAATAGCAAAAAAACTAATAACCAGATTAAAAATGGGCTGGGAACTTGAATAGACATTTCTCCAAAGACAAGTGGCCAACAAGCATATAAAAGATGTTCAACACCACTAGTCACCAGGGAAATGCAAATCAAAACCACAATGAGCTATCACCTCACTCTTGTGAAGATGACAATCATAAAAAAAAACCCAAACAACAACAAGTGTTGGTGAGGATGTGGAGAAACTGAAACCCTTGTACACTGTTGGTAGGAATGCAAAATGGTGCAGCCACTATGGAAAACAGTATGGAAATTCCTCAAAAAATTAAAAATGGAACTACCATATGATGCAGCAATCTCACTCTGGGTATTTATCCACCACAAGAACTGAAATCAGGATCCTGAAGAGATATCTGCACTCCCATGATCAGTGCCATAGTATTCACAATAGCCAAGATGTAGAAACCACCTAAAAGTCCATTGACAGAGGAACAGATATAGAAAATTTACTAGTATATACAAACAATGTAATATTATTCCACCTTTAAAAAGAAGGAAATTCTGCAATATGCAATGACATGGATGGACCTTGAGGACATTATGCTAAGTGAAATAAGCCAGTCACAGAAAGACAAATACTATATATTCCACTTATATGAAGTATCTAAGATAATCAAATTCATAGAATCAAAGAACAGAATGGTGGTTGCCATGGCCTGGAAAGAGGAAATGGGGAGCTTCTAATCAACAGGCATAAAGTTTCAGGGAGTTGCTATTCAACAGGCAAGATGAATGAGCTCTACAGATGTGCTGTGCAACACTGCACCTATAGCCAACAATAATACATTGTACATTTAAAAATTTAAGAATGTAGATCTCATGTTAAGTGTTCTCACCACAACAAAATAAAATTTTTAAGTAAGTAAAAATTAAAACTATGAGGCCATTTCTCATCCATTGGACTGGTAATTATCTGAGAATCTGCCAACATACTCCACGGGCAAGGCTGAAGAGAAGGCAGTCTCATACATTGCTGATGATAATGCAAAATGATATAACACCTATGGAGAAAAATTTGGCAATATCTTGCAAAATTCTGTAAGCATTTATCATTTACCATAGCAATAGCATTTTAAGACTCTTCTCCAATGACACCCTGGCAAAAATATGAAATGATTTACATAACAAAGCTACTCATTAGAGAATTATCTGCAATAGCTAAAGAACAATCCCAATGTAGAAAACTGGCTGAATAAACATTCAGAGAATAACGTACTGTGCAGCTGTAAAAACAAATGAGAAGTATCTTTATATACCACTGTGGAGAGATCTCCAAAATATATGTTTAAGTGTAAAAAGCAAAGTGGAGAAAAGTACATAACATGCTATGATTTATCTAAGGAGTGAAGAGGTATGTGTGCGTGTACATACATTTAAATGTTTAAGGGCCAGCCTGTGGCTCACTTGGGAGAGTGCGGTGCTGATAACACCAAGGCCATGGGTTCGGATCCTATATAGGGATGGCTGGTTAGCTCACTTGGGAGAGCGTGGTGCTGACAACACCAAGTCAAGGGTTAAGATACCCTTACTGGTCATCTTTTAAAAAATTAAAAATAAAAAAAGTTTAATTGGTTATTTACAATGAAGGGAGGGAACAGGATAGAGGTCACAGGAATGAAAAGCTATGTCTTGTTTTATAGATGTAACTTTGGAACCATACAAAGGTTTTAATAAAGATGTAATAAAATTAAACCAAAAAGGAAAAATGTCAATTCCCCCAAATTGAAAGCAAAATGACACAAATGAACCTAACTGTATATCAACTTTGTGGCATAACCAAAAAGAAAGGAATTATTTCAAATGATTGTATACCCTAAAGACATAAAGAACTACCAAAAAATAAAAAACCTTAGAATGTTTTCAGCAATCATATTGTTGATAATAATATTGGTATTACTCTTAAATGTTGTGTGTGTATTATAAAATAAAACAAATAAAGTTATGTTGATACTGGTTGTAGCCATGATTGTCAATGAGACAGAGAAGAGATACAGTTAAAATAAAAGTTAAGTAAGAGCCTATATTCAGAAATCTGAATTGGAAATAGTATAAACTCATCATATATTTTTCTCACAAAATATATATATATACATTTTCTAGCTCTATCTATTGAAAAGGCCTACAAAAATATCCAACCCAGTAGCAATGAGCATCTTTAGTGCTTAGACTGTGACCTCTAAATACCATTTCCCACTAAAAAGAACCAGGACCCTTTAGAGAAATCGCTGATTCCATATTTAGACCAGGAAATGTACCAGATAAGCCTAAAACATCTTGTCATACAAGAAAACAAACAACTAATAAAACTAATGGGTGCATATATATATAGGCTCATTATATAAAGGCTCATTCTCTGAAATAGTTGTGGCTGGAATTATATGATGTCCAGACTTTGCTTCAGAATAATCCAGTGTTGGGCCGGCCCGGTGGCGCACTGCGATAGTGCGCTGCTTGGGAAGCACGGCAGCACTCCCGCCGAGGGTTCGGATCCCACATACAGACCGGTTCCCGCTCGCTGGCTGAGCGAGGCGCGGGAGCAACGCCGAGGGTTGCGATCCCGTTGCCGGTCCCAGTCCGGTGGTGACACTGAGGGTTGCGATCCGTTGCCGGACACGGAAAAAGACAAAAAAAAAAAGAATAATCCAGTGTCTGGAAACAAAAGAGGGTGAGTGTACAGATGAAAAAAGATCTGCCAGTAGTTGATAAGTGTTGAAGCTCGGTGGCTGATATATATGAAATCATTATATTATTCAGTCTACCTTTACATGTGCTTGAAATTTTCAATAATATAATTATTTTAAAAATCATTTACTTCTGAGCAAGACCATTTTAATTATTTGCCAATAATTAAGGCCTTTCAGAAAAAAACACAAGCAATACTCTGGTGAACTCCTGCCTCTAATATATGTACACATGAACTTCATTTATCACTCATTAACTTTGCTTCAGTACACTTTATTGCCAAGATGAATTTCACATTCTAACAATCATGAAGGTAGACCTGCACATATTTATTTTTAACTTTTTTATTGTAAAATATTACACATTCAGAAAAATTCATAGAACAAATGCCTGTTAATAAAGTCAGAAACAGGAGATTGCCAGCACCCCAGAAGCTTCCCAATATGTTCTTTCTGAACACAGTTCCTCCTTCCCTAGGAGAAAATATTACCTTATACAATTTCTCCCCTGCATTTCTTTATATTTTTTTTAGGAATATTTATATTCCTAAACAATATAGTTCAGTCTTCTTTCAACTATATAAATGGAACCATTTTGTACATATTCTTTTAAGTCTTCTTTCAGTCTCCATTATGTTTGTAAGATTTGTCCATGTTGTTATTTGTCACGGAGATTCATGCACTGTCATTACTGTGTAGTATTGTACTGCACAAATATGTCTCAACTTATCCATTATACTTTCGATGCTAGTTTGGACAGTTTCCACCTTGGAATTCTTATAAACATGCCTTACAGAAACATTTCTTTTGTTTTTTTTTTTTTGTCCTTTTTGTGACCGGCTGCACAGCGCTCAGCCAGTGAGCGCATCGCAGCAGCCATCCCTATATAGGATCCGAACCCGCGGCGGGAGCACCACTGCGCTCCCAGCGCCGCACTCTCCCAAGTGCACCACGGGCTCGGCCCTTACAGAAACATTTCTATGAATATTCGTGTACAAATAAACTGGTTTGTATGTACACAAGTTTCTCTAGGCTATAAACCAGGATTAGAATTAGGTTGGATCACAGGGTGTATGCACTTTCAACTATATTGATAATGCCAAGTTATTTTCCAAAGTCATTGTACCCATTCATACTCCTACTAGTAGCAACTGAGAGTTCCACATTGCTCACATTTTTAACCTTGCAGCCATCCCAGCCATGGTAAATACTCACATGTCCCTCATCAGACGAGCATCTTCAGCTCGGACAAGCAAACTTCGGATCAGATTAGAATTATCAGCCATGTCAGCACTGAGCTTCTGATGCACTGAATGATATTCATCCACCTGGAGACCACAAACACTCAGGTATTAAAAAGGTCTCACAAACGTCTTAAAAACTAGACAGATTGAGAAGACATTATTTACATGTAGTGAGGCCCTTTTCTTTCCCCTGTTCACTTATAACAACTTAGCTACCTCCCATGATTTCATCTCCTCCTCAACAATTAGTCTATGCTGTCTCCAATACTCAAGATGACACTCCATATGGATCCTTCCCACGTCTTAGTATCAGGAGCCTTTACAACACACATATTAACATTTTAGGGATTTGCAGTGGGAACACTGTTAATACTTCGGAGCCAATCACAACCCTGCTTATTTTGTTTTATTTTGAATTTGGGGTTTTGGAAGGTAATAAATTGAAAACAAAATAGACACAACAGATAAGACAAAGGGCTAGCAAAGGAAATTGTTTATGTGACATATTTTTTTAAAAGTATCCCCTTATTCAGATCCCTATACCAGCCAGCTGCCAGGAAAAAACAAAAACAAAAAACAAAAAAACAAAAGTATCCCCCTACCAAACAAAGAAAGCAAGTTGGTCAAGAACTAATCACTCACTTTTATAGTGAATTCTCCAATACTAGTTCAATTTTGATTTCAACTTGCAAAAATTCTTTAAAACATTACTATCATATAATACAAGTACATTTGTAGTATCATTAATCTCCTAAGAGAAACTGCAAAAATTACTAGACTACCATGTTCTCACAAAAGCATCCACTAGATGCCCTCACCTTAATCAGCACCTTTCGTAATTCCTCAAAATAAACAGGAAAATCTGCTTCTACCTGAAGGTCTTCAATAGCAAAAAATGATGCCATTGACTGGATGATATCACCAGCCAAATCAATATCATCAGTATTTACAGTGATCTATACAGAGAAAAAACAGACAAGTTTAGCGTCCTCAAATGTTAGACAAACTTAGCTAAAACAGTACCTGAATTTCCCCAAATTCAACACAATTATTGAACATGTATTTATATGTACTGATGAATAAGATAAGGTTTAGTCCTCAAGGAAATTACAAACTTCATTCATTATTTCCAGCTGCTGGCTAAAAGGTCAATCCTGTAGCCTTATAAATTAAATGACAAAATCATTCAAAAAATGAAAAACATTTTTGCTCACCTCTGTATTCCCAATTCTGCACAAATTAGGCAAGGAAGGGGTGAAGGGAAGGAGGGAGGGAGGCAGAAAACCTCTGTTCTAGATTACACCCCTGTGTCTAAGATGATAACAATAAGGAGTGAGTGGTGTTATGACCATGGGTCTGGCGTCATTTACCTCACTTGCACTGAATGGTAAACACCACATAAGAAATATAAGCCCCATGACATTAAACATACCTCTCCACTAACTTTTATTTTTATATACAGCTGGCCTCCATTCCGTAAGGATGTGAAACACACTTGAAATGGAGCATTCTGAATGTTAGTGTCTTCTGGTAACAGAAAGTTCTGGTTGAGCCATATAACAACCTTAAAAATGAACAGAATGAAATGAAGTTCCATTTTTAAAGTACAGCCATTCTTGAGGGAAGAGTTCTCCCTAGTTTTACAGCTTGGTTTAAAAAAAAGAATTATACTTCACTCCTCACCAAGAAAACATTAATCACAATCCCTTTTCCCACCTCACACACGTTCTTAAGTGACATTCACAATTATGTCTGGTCCTAAAGTGGGCATGATTTTACAACATTTTCTACTTATACATAATCTTATATATAATGTATAAATGATTCAGGTATCAAGCTAATTCTGTTACACAATAGCTCTTCTGTGGGTGTATCCTGGACAATGTGGACTGTTTAAAATTATTCCATTCTATTCTTTAAAAAATGTTAAATGATGTGTACATATGCACACACCACAGACAGAGATACACCCACACAAGCAGTAAAGAAAAAGTTTTAATGTTAATAATACTTCACAGTGGTTTGCAACACAGGTTCCACATAAGAACCACCTGTGAGGCCTTTTGGAAGGGCCCACCTACAGTTTCTGGTTCCACAGGCTGGGCAAGAACTTGAGAATGCACATGATTAAAAAACCTCAGGAGAATTCTGAAGTCCAGCCAAGGTTGCAGTCCACTGATACTAGTCCTTTAAACTTTATGAGATGTTGTCACACCAATCATGTAATTTTCAGGGCTCCTCAATGACATGGACAAGACTATCCTCAACTATGGATAAGAAAATTGAGGCTTGGTCTGGTGAAGGGAATTCCCCAAGATCACAAAGAATATAATTAGTTAAGGTAGCACTTGAACCCCAAAATGTTCCCAGCTCCAAGTTGCACCCTCTTTCCATCTTGATGCAGCTTTCTCTTGAAATGCTAAGGTCAAGACAACTACACTAAGACCATACTAAAAGAGAGAGAGAAATTAAAACTGGTAAGAATTCACCTGTAACCAAGGATTGCTCAGATAAATAATGTGTCTATTTTTTCAAAGTGAGAGAAGATATTTTTATTACAGGTTTTTATTACAGCTTATAGCCAACTCCAAGTAACATAATTCTTTCATACCATATTTATGGCTATCAACGTAACACATTCATGTAATTTCCCCCTTTCTATGAGATAACACCTAAAGGATTCTAAAGCGCAAAAGTACTGAAAGAAAAAAAGCAAGATACTCACCCTCTGTGCCCGTTCTGCAATGATAAAGTTAACGTAACTGACTGGCTCACTGGCAGAGTCTGGGCTGGTTAGCGCATACATGGAGAATCGAGGGAGCTGTCTTGTCAATTCAAACACATGAAACTGGGTGCTATGGCCAACCAATGGAACACAAGAGAATTATTTTGTGTAGAATGCTACTTTAAAGTGCAAGGCCCCCAAAATAAAATCACTACTGGGTCATCAATTAATATTTAAGGGTTTTACTGAAGTAAAAACCCCCAAAACACTTTAGGCAATAAGTAAGTACTGCAGTAATGTATTAGGAAACTGCAAACATTATTAGTAATGTCTTAGGTTTAGGATTTAGAGACAATGTGAGTCTACATATACACATGCATGCATTACTAAGGGTTTAAAACACGATTAAAGGAATGTAAAAAGGCACTTTTTCTTTGGCGGCTGGCCTAAAAAGGTTTTCATCTTCAACAAATGTAGTGTTTTTTCTTCAACAGCTGAGGTTCTATATATATATGATATATATTCTGCCTAATATAAAGGCACATTCTTTTTTTTTTTTTAAAGATGACTGGTAAGGGGATCTTAACCCTTGACTTGGTGTTGTTAGCACCACTCTCTCCCAAGTGAGCCAACTGGCCATCCCTATATAGGGATCCGAACCCGTGGCCTTGGTGTTATCAGCACCACACTCTCCCAAGTGAGCCACGGGCCGGCCCTTAAAGGCGCATTCTAACCCCTATAGTCTTATTGGCCAAACCTACAAATTGACAAACATCAATTAAACATATTTTTAAAACTTTTGTGACTGTGAGATCATCTGAATAAAAACAGAATATAACATAAACTTACATACCCTTTTCTGAAATTTCGCTCTTTTTAACAGATTTCAAATTATGGAAATAAAAGGCCATGGGAAACCCTGACTGGGTGGATAGAATCAATAATTGGCTCCTCAGGCCCCACACAATCTGTGGCATAATGGAAAATCTATAGATCCTGCCCTCTTCTAAGTGTTGACTCAAAATGAATTATGGCTTGCAAAGGGTCACCTGCTTCTGTAACCCACGAACGTTTTCAAGTACAGTTCCACAGGGACATCTTTGGGAGGTGTAATTGGGATGCGGATGGAGCTGGAGAGGTTATGAATGCTGGGGTGTACCACATGGCTTTCACCTATAAAAATTCCCTCTGCAAAAATAGATACTGCTCGGATGATGGTATCTGCAAGGAAGAAGGAAAACAGTTCAAGAACTATTCCAAGATGGCAAAGGTGCCTACAAACACCAGGTGTAAATAATTTCTTACCATTAGAAGTGGAAATGCACAATTCTGCATGAGCAGCTTGAGTCTTATTCCCCAGATTGACTGAGAGGGCAGTGTGGAGCTTGGTATTTGCTGGGATTATGCCCCGATGCCCATCAGCTTCATTCAGTGGACCACTCAATTCGGCCTGCAAAATACCCCTCTCACTTACAACTTAATCACCAAAACAGTGATCTAATGTCAACTGTAAACAATATGGCTACTCATCTTCAAAAGACAGACTCTGCATCATTTTATGATATTAATCTGATGGTTTAGAATTCAGAGAAATCACCTCATTAGTGCTCCCTTGCTCTACCTGGCCCTGTGGGAAAATACACTTGCCCCTTTCTGTGGTTATGGTCCACTGTACCCCATCATGACTTTTACATTTCTTTTGCATTCTTCTTTTAATATAGTAATGCATGAAAGGACAAATTAAAGTCCCACTCCCCAGAGCACCCTCCAGCCAGTTTTGTGTACATACACACACATTTTTTTGTAATTGTCAATTTTTATATTACTTGGTTTTGAAAAAGATAAATAAGCATGCATATTGTTCTTGCTTTTTTCCACTTAATAATATCACAAACATCCTTCCATTATCAGTCTAAATATATGTACTTTATTCTTCTGAGTTGCTCAATATTCCCCAGCACATACTCCCTACCACTACTGAACACTTAAATTGCTTCCAGCTGTTCATTGCTACAAATAGTGCTGCAGTAAAATGTCTTTCTTTGAACATTCATGCAAATATTTCTATAGTTTAGCTGCCTGAAAATGGAATTTCAAGATCAAAGGATACATGCCTTCTCAATGCTGACTCTAGCAAAAAGGCTGAAGCAGCCTGTGCTTCTGCTGGGCTGGTGGGGAGAATGGAGCCCACATCCTAGCCGACGCTGACACTCTCATTCTTCTTCCACATTTGCCAACCCACCTCCCGGTCAGTCTCAATGTTTCAGATTCCATCTCCCTTTCACCTTAGAACCTACCTTGGCATTTTCCTCATAGTTACGGAGTTCCAACAGCAAATTCTGTTTTTTCTGACTCAGCTCTCGGATCAGGTCCTGCTCTACACTGGTGTCCATGAGGTTCCCCCTCATCTCAGCCGTGCCTGGCAGGTAGCCCCGGACTGAACAGAAGGAAAAAATCCTCACTAGACTAAGGAATATCCCAAGTATAGTCAGGTCAACTTTTAGGTCATCAATTATCTGTCCTTAAAACCAAAAAACCTAAGTTCTTGTCTCCCCAACTTAGGTGAATTTATTAGAACTAGCGGATCTTAGTACAAATACTTTAATAGTAGAATTTTCTAGGATTTTGACCCAATCAAATTGAAAACTTGACTTTTCAAAACGTTTTCTCATTCCAATTTACTTTCTCCATCCACTGAACAGCAGATTAACTGTATGTGGCCATCCATCCGGTAATCTCCCTCTACCACACCAGCAATTGCAGAAGAAAAGTTGTCTTTAAAGATGACCTCCCCAGTTCGGTCGCTTCGAGCATCCACCTAAAAATAAAACAAGAACTTAAAAGTCACTTATGCTATAGTTTTTTCAAAAACCACAAAACTTAAAAAAAAATTGGCTTTAAAGGTCATTTAAAGCGGGTATCAATCAAGACGGCGGAATAGACGATCCGCAGCACCACTCTCTCCCACAAATCAACCAATTTACAACTATAAAAATGTAACATCAGCCAAGCCAGGGCCGCTGGAGCTCAGGGTAAGAGGAAAGACCTAGAGAGTTCATAAAGGAGGGAGAAACTACGATGAGAGAAAGAAAAAGCTGCTCTGAGCATTTCAGGCCATGGCTGCTTTAGGGCTCGAGCTGATGAGCACATGGAGCAGGAGCCGGCAGAAGCTGCCACTGTGCCCTTCACATGGAGTTACTTGGAGGCAGCAGGAGAGAAGAGGGCGTTGGCGGCCTCCAGGACAGCAAGACCACTAATAGGGTTCCCGTGGACCCACGCAGGAATGAGGAGCCAGAACAACTGAAAAAAGGGAGCCACTCAGAGGCTGGTGAGTCATCACAAGGGACCAGCGCATGGCCCATCCCATGGGAAGTGTTTGCAGCACGGGCGGTGGGGCAGACGTGCCCACCAGGGGAACACTGGGACACAGCAAGGACAGCTGATCTGCTCCCCAATCAGCACAGGACCACTCAGAGGAGACTGGTCAGGAATGCAGAATTGCATGGGGTGCAGTTTGATGAAAAAACTCAGGCCCAGATCAGAGATTCTACAGAACACAGATCCATCAGGTCTCTAGAGAGCCAGAAGTACCTATAAAGTCAACCATTAAGCCCTGAGCTGCACAAAAAGCCTTCCCTAGGGAAACAGCAGCAAAGTAGCAATTTAAACAACCACACAGCTCAAGTACTGTTTCCCACAGGAAGTTCCCCCGTGTTAGAAGCAAAGGACAAAAAATTAGTTCCGGCCCAGGGACACCACCAGCACCTGGGGGCCTGCCTGGGAACTGGAGGCTTGGATCTGGGGACCAGACCCCACTCCCACTTCAAGGCAAACTGTACCAGTGCCTCGGGGCCAGCCTGGGGACCTGAAGCATGGAGAAGGGGACTGGACCTCCCTCCCACAACCAGGCACACCATGCCAGCACCTTGGGGCCTGCCCAGGGACCCGAGGCAAGGAGAAGGGGACCGGACCTCTCTCCCACAACGAGGCACACTGAGCCAGTGCCTTGCGGCTCACCCAGGGACCCGGGGTATGGAGTTGGGGACCAGACCACCCTCCCACCACCAGGCACAACATGCCAACACCTCGAAGCCCACTCAGGGACCCAGGGTATGGAGTCAGGGACTGGACTTCTCTCCCACAACCAGGCACAACATGCCAGCACCTTGGGCCCCGCCCAGGGACCCAGGGCAAGGAGAAGGGGAATGGTCCTCTCTCCCACAACCAGGCACACTGAGCCAGCGCCTTGGGACCCACCCAGCGACCTGGGGTATGGAGTCAGGGACCAGACCACCCTCCCACAACCAGGCACAACATGCCAGCACCTCGGAGCCCACCCAGGGACCTGGGGCATGGAGAAGGGGACTAGACCTCTCTCCCATAACCAGACACACTGCACCAGTGCCTCAGGGCCTGCCCAGGGACCTGAGGCATGGAGAGGGGACCAGACCACCCTCCCACAACCAGGCACAACATGCCAGCACCTCAGAGCCCACCCAATGACCCAAGGCATGGAGCCAGGAACCAGACCCTCCTCCCACAACAAGGCACACAACACCAGTACCTCGGAGCCCACCCAGGGACCCAAGGCAAGGAGAAGGGGACTGGACCCTCCTCCCACACCAAGCACAAAACACCAGCACCTTGGGGCCCACCTGGGTACCTGAGGCATGGATAAGGGGACCGGACCCTCCTCCCACAACCAGGCGTGCTGTGCCAGTACTTCAGGGCCCTCCCAGGGACCCAGGCCATGGAGAAGGGGACCAAGAGGATGTCTCTTTCCACAAAACCCATTTCACAGTGACAGAAGAAGCATCTGCTCTATGATAATATCGGGGGACCTGATCACATCTCTCAGCATTGTACATATCATCTAGGCAACAAGTTAACAGAGTAACCATTATTCTTTCAGAAGGAGAGAAAAAATCTAGGGCAATTAGAGGGGGGAGGGGGAGGTAATAGGGGAAGGGGAGAGGTTGGACAAGGGGCATAAAGAATAATTACGATTTGTAATTATTATATGCTAGTAATATTGATTTAATCAACATATCTCAATGTTCAACACCCAAAATATGTATAATCAATTTTGATTCAATTAAAATAAAAAAGGTCATTTAAAGCAGTTTTCAAGAGTACTCCATGAAGCCCTGAAACTTCTCAGAAGATATCTATGACTGCTGGGGTCAAGAGAAACTATAAGGGGCTTCAACCAGCTGTGCTTTCTTCTTTTTAAATAAAAGCTATTTTACATATTGGCCTTCACACAATATTTCATTTGAAGAACTGGGTCTGCTGAAAGGGAGTACATATAGTCCAGATAGTACAGTGCAAAAGGGCTTGGGCTCCATGGCTAAACTGCTCAAGTTTGTATTCCAGCTCTGCAATGTACTATCTATGGGATCTTGGGAAAGTTTCCTAACCATTCTGCCATAGTTTTCTCATCTGGAGATCAATAACCAGAACAGGAAGAAAATAACATTACCTCTACCTCACAGGGTTGTAATGAGGCCTAAAGGAGTTAACACAAGTATATTACTCTGCACAGGGCCTGGCACAGAGAAGTACACAATAAATGTTAGCTCTGTATAAAAATTATGTTTTGATTGGATTAAGATAATGTGGTATATATACACAATGGAATACTACTCAGCCAGAAAAATGAATGAAATTCTACCATTTGCAGCCATATGGATGAACTTAAAGAAAATCATGTTAAGTGAAATAAGCCAGGCACAGAAAGAGAAATGCCACATGTTCTCACTCATATGTAGAAGCTAAAAAAGTTGATCTCATAGAAGTAGAGAGTAAAATAGGGGTTACTAGAGACTGGTGAAGGGAAGAAGTGGGGGGAATGGGGAGAGGGTGGTCAATGGATACAAAATTGTTGAGAGGCAGGAAGAATAAGATCTACTGTTCTACAGCAGTATAGGAAGACGAGAGTCAACAACAAATTACTGTGCAAGTTCAAGTAGCTAGTCAAGAGGATGCTGAATGTTCCCAATACAAAGAGGTGACAAATGTTTGAGGTGATGAATATGCTAACCACCCTGATATGACGATTGCACACAGTATAAATGTACCTAAATATCACACTGTACTCCATAAATATATACAATTATCATGGGTCCATTAAGAAAAATAAATTTAAAAGAAAAAAAACTTCAGAGACAGAAGTAGATTAGAGGAAACCAGAAATGGAGGCGGGGGAGGGAGAAAATAATGAGAAGTTACTCCTTAATGGGCACAGAGTTTATGTTCAGGATGACAAAAAAGTTTTGGAAATCGATAAAGGTAGTGGTTACATAGCATTATGAATGTAATTAATTTCGCACAATTGTATATTTAAAACGCTTAAAATAAAAATTCTGTTATATATGTTTTGCCACAATAAAAAAATATATCTTTATTACATATAAATGTATAAAACATATTTATATCTAAAGTTTGGAAAATGCAGAGTTGGCCCAATCTTCCACCATACAACCTTTTACAACAACCCTCTTCCACATAAAAACCATTCAGATACCTTAGAGAGCTCTCCTATCCTCTTTGAGTTTCCTCTTCCCAAGAGATAGGACTAATAAATAACTGACTGATCAGAAACAAATGCATCTCAGAAACAATAATGAATGACAATCATTTAAAATGATGATTTTGTCCTAGGCAATGACACTGGTATTATCAACAAAAGGCTAGCTATAAAAAATCCGGTACAGCAATCATTTCAATGATCAATGCCATTTACTATTTTTGTCTTTTCCTAAACATCCTTCTGAGCTAAACTTTGCAATAAAAAAGTAATTTAGGTTATAGCCTACCCCTTGCCTGGAGTATATCATAGTCAAGTATCCATGCTACTTGTTTTGTTTTTTTTTTCTTTAAAAAGATGACCGGTAAGGGGATCTTAACCCTTGACTTGGTGTTGTCAGCACCACGCTCACCCAGTGAGCGAACCGGCCATCCCTATATGGGATCCGAACCCATGGCCTTGGTGTTATCAGCACCGCACTCTACCGAGTGAGCCACAGGCCGGCCCCTATCCATGCTACTTGTAACAACATCATGTAAGCCTGAAAATTACGAATACTAAAGCCTATGAAGTAATGAAAGGCCTGTGTATCTACCAAAGCTCTTAGCAAATTAACCTAACCCTCTAACTTAGATTGAACTGAGCTTGCTTCTTTCTAGTCAAAACCTAAGTACGTAACAGCTTCTGGCACTGCATTCCCATATTTAGCAAACAAGAAAGTTCATTTGCTAAGAAGGACTACAAATTATTTCTGTGGATATTCTGCTCTTTTGCTTAATCCAAATGGAAGTTTTGGGGCCGGCCCGGGGGCGCACTGCTACAGTGCGCCACTTGGGAAGCACGGTGGCGCTCCCGCCGAGGGTTCGGATCCCACATGCAGACTGGTTCCCGCTCACTGGCTGAGCGAGGTGTGGGAGCAACGCTGAGGGTTGCGATCCCGTTGCCGGTCCCGGTCCAGTACGGGCGCGACACTGAGGGTTGCGATCTGTTGCCGGACACAAAAAAAGACAAAAAGGAAAAAAAAAAAAACAAATGGAAGTTTTGCCCTAAAAGGAGAGGATGGCCCTCCAACTCAACAAATGACATACAAAAGACAAAGTTAATTGGTTAGCAGCATTTAGTATTTTTGCACCTACATTCAGCAGTTGGGTTTATATATGTTTCTTTTCTTTTTTTTTTTTTTTATTATTTTTATTTTGTCAATATACAATGTAGTTGATTATTGTGTCCCATCACCGAAACCTCCCTCCCTATATATGTTTCTTTTCTATGATATTTCTGTTAAGAGTAGATAATCAGTTTTTCCACTTATGTAATGAACTGTATAATTTTCTTATCTTTGTTTATGCTCTGCAACAGATTATATGATAGAAATCCCTGAAAATTTTGAAAGCATTTAACTATAAAAACATCTAGGTCCAGAGTCATATTTGCAGGTAACTTCTGATAATTTCTCAGGTCTAGTAGTTTTGTAATTCTTGAATCGGTCATAATAATTTATATTCCCTCAGAATATGGTCCACTGCCATGGTCTGAATGTTTGCGTCACCCCCAAAATTCATATGTTGAAATCCTAGCACTCAAGGTGATGGAACTAGGAAGTGGAGCCTTAGGGAGGTGATTAGGTCATGAAGGCTCTGCTAATCTAGGATTAGTGACCATATAAAAGAGTCCCAAGAGATATCCTTTTCCCCTTCCACCATGTGAAGTTACAGTGGCAAGAGGCCCATCTATGAGGAATGGGCCCTCAGACACTCAATCTGCCAGTGCCTTGATCTTGGACTTCTCTGCCTCCAGAACTGTGAGAAATATATTTCTGTTGTTTATAAGCTACCCAGTCTATGGTATTTTGTTATCACTTCCCAAATTGACTAAGACATCCTTTTTTACAGACTTTTGAACTTCTTAATAAGCAACTACACAGTCTTCACTTATAATTTTTAATACCCATACCAAACACAATACAAAGTGGAGAAAGCAGGAATCAACATAACAGCTGTTATCTGTTCACTTAACACCAAAGGAAGGCTACAAGAAACTGGCCAAAAGTAAAGAAAAATCAAAGAAAAGACAGGAATTAGTGGCTCCCCTTCAGGCAATCCAACACTGACAGAAAGCTAGGGCAAATAGTATCCATGGAGATCTGGCAGCTACTTAGGCAGTTTCTTTTTTTTTTTTTTTTCCTTTTTGTCTTTTTTCGTGACCGGCAACGGGATCGCAACCCTCGGTGTTGCGCCCGCACCTCACTCAGCCAGTGAGCGGCCGGTCTGTATGTGGGATCCGAACCCTCGGCGGGAGCGCCACTGCACTCCCAAGGAGCGCACTGTAGCAGTGCACCACCGGGCCGGCCCTACTTAGGCAGTTTCTTTTTTTTTTTTTTTTTCCTTTTTGTTTTTTTTCGTGACCGGCAACGGGATCGCAACCCTCGGTGTTGCGCCCGCACCTCACTCAGCCAGTGAGCGGCCGGTCTGTATGTGGGATCCGAACCCTCGGCGGGAGCGCCACTGCACTCCCAAGCAGCGCACTGTAGCAGTGCACCACCGGGCCGGCCCTACTTAGGCAGTTTCTAACAAGACAATCCTGACTTGCCAAAAGACTGTAGAAAATTTTGATTTGAAGTTAAAAGAGGAAAGAAAGCAAAAGGATTTTATTTTGAAGTTACAGCTGGGAAAACAATATGCTAACATGATTCTTCCCATTAATTCTAAGTTTTCAGTAAGTTTTGAAGATTTATTAGAAAAGAGCTATTCAAATAGTACATTATTAGGTTATTAAAATTCCTTTTTTTATTGGCCTATTCCTAGAATCAACCTGATTGATGGATTCTCAGTCCTTCAAGGAAGAGATTTAGAAAGAATCTCCCTGAAGATTTCCCCCAAATAGGGCTTACTCACTCACTCTGTACCTTTACATCTATAACAGCAGGAAGAACTAATGTTGAAAGATTATGAAGTTAAATTTGAAAACATGGCCAACGAACTCATTTATATTCCCAGATTACTATCTTAAGTCACACAGCCAATACACCTCAGAAAATTATAACTTTGAATTATACTTGAACTTTGCCATTTAAACTTACCTTCCCATTGGACCAACCAGTTATCAGTTCACGCACACCATCAGAATTAAGGTCAAAAGCATGAATGCTCATGGCATGATTTTTAGACTGAAAAAGAATTCCAGTAATTAGTACAGCAGTCTCTCAATAAGTATAAGGTTCCTGAATATCAGAGGCCGAATCATACTAACTTTAATTCTCCAGTATCGAGCTGTTTTGTCATAAACTCCAACCGTGCCATTGGAAAGAGCATAGCCAAACCGACTGCCATACATGGGGCAAAGAGAGGTGATTATCTGCAAAAATAATATATAAAAATACAACATTTTTCATTAAGACTCAATTTAATGTGATGTATTCTTTATAAAATTGCATGCCTTGCTACAACTGAGTGAAAATTAGATTTAAATGCACTTCCATTAGTGGGGAATATATTCTCTTCTCTATGATATATTTCAGCTATTTCAGAGTTGCATAATCAAATTTAAATAAACTCACAAAGTTTGATGTTTTATACAAGCTTATGTGGCAAGTTTTAGTAAATTATTTAAAAAGCAATAATATCAAGGGATTAAGGAGGAAATAATAAGTACACAAGATCTAGAATACATACAATAGATGTTATACACACTAACCCAAAGGGTTTTAATGATTATTACAATTCTCTTAACTTATAATGTCCTACAGTCTAAATTTTAAAAGGATTTATAACAATCCACAATTGAATATTTAACTTTTATGTGTATATTTTTCTATGATATAACTTATTGTTTACTAGCGGTAAAAGAAAGAAGACAGAATCCTTTGAAAAGTAAAAACCCAAGCTCGTGGGTCTGCATAGTATGTAAAAATATACAAAATGCATATACTATGCAGAAATATTTATAAGTCTGAGGATTTAACATCCTTAAAAAAATAAAATTTTAGATATTGAACAAAATTGTCCTTTAAAGTTAAAACCAAAGCTTAACGATATCTATGGTCCTGCAGATATATTTTCTAATTCTGACCCTAAAACAAGAGATATTAAGAAATAAGCTGTATAAAGCACAGAATAGTTATATAATTTCCTGTACACCTACAGCTTTTCTACAAAACCACCCACTTCACTTAACTCTGAATAAAAGTGCTGTGTAGGACCCTGAATTATTTAGCTCAAGGCATTCTTCTGGCACTACTTAGTACTGTTCAACTGCCAAATGAATCATGATTTTGCTGATCTAGGAAAAGAATATGAGCTAGGAGCAAAACCAAACCAAGAGGACAGGAAAATGGCTCTGCAAATGAACAATTTTATACAGTCTGTATTTTCATAAATTTAGCCCCAGATTACCCAGGTCCTTTAGTGCTTCCTTAGTTCATTCATTTCTCTCTTTTGTGGACTAGAGGACCAACAAGTACCCTCAAATCCCTAGCTCTACTTCACCGTTCTCCTCTCCTTTTCTAGGATTTAGGAAAAAAGTGTTTCAAAGAATGCACTCCCTTTACATCCAGTATTAACAATAAACAGAAATCCCCCAAAAAACTTGAATGATTCCCACTAAATGGGGAAAGATTTACTGCAAATTGGAACAGAAGGGATATGATAACGTAGGACACAGCACTGATGAGCCAGTGATTCTCAAGTTGTTTTTTGCGGTGGTGGAGTGGGAAAATTGCAAATTCCTTTAAGAATCTAATGAAAGCAGGGGGCCAGCCTGTGGCTCACTTGGGAGAGTGTGGTGCTGATAACACCAAGGCCACGGGTTCAGATGCCTATATACGGAGGGCCGATTAGCTCACTTGGGAGAGTGTGGTGCTGATAACACCAAGGCCACGGGTTCAGATGCCTATATACGGAGGGCCGATTAGCTCACTTGGGAGAGCGTGAAGCTGACAACACCAAGTCAAGGGTTAAGAACCCCTTACCAGTAATCTTTAAAAAAAAAAAAGAATCTAATGAAAGCAAAGGACCCTCTCTCCAGAGAACACACAAAAGCACATACACATAAAATAGAACCCTGTACATTGACACACATCTTCAGACTGCTGCTTTTGGCACTAATTCTCCCCATTGATTCTTCTCTGTCCACAACTGTCATTTCACATTATAACTGTGAATATGTAAAAAGTATAGTAGGGCTAAGTAAAAACCTATGACTCTCGCTATAGGATAAAACTACATAGTTAAAATCATTGATAACACTTTGTATATCAATATGCAGGTTTTGCTTTTTAATCTCCTTTTGTAGTTAAGGAAACAGAAATTAGACCTTCCTAGACAGATTTTATAAGTGGCAAGAAGTAAGTTATTTAAGGACAAGTGGTCAAGGTCAGTTTTGAGGCCAGTGCACCCAAGCTTTCCTAATACACACTCCCAAATACCACCCGACTAAATTTTGCAGAATCCTACCATTCTAATCCCTAAGACTCCATTCTACTGGTTTCTTTCTATCCATTTACAATGTTCACAAACCACTGCTTCTTTATCCACTTCTTCCTTAATTCACAATATCCTAATTCGTTTTTCTGTTTCAGTCTTGCCCAATCCTGGAAAATTAGCAGGAAATAAATATCCTAAGAATGTCAAAACTACAAAGAATACAGGTAATCTTTAAATATTACTTTTAAAAAAATGAAGTTTGAACTCTGAGAAACATCTCAGGTTCAATTACATGAGTGACTCTAATCACAAAGAAATTGGTCATGTTCTCTAATGCCTAATTTCTAAGTTTACATACAGAAATGTGCCTAAGTACTTAATTTGCTTGAAGAGAAAAAAATTATACAAATCTCATTTATGAACTTCGTTCAATCTCATTTAATACACATGATGAGGAGGAACAGGAGGCACAAAATTTCAAATCCTGACCATGCCACTTAATAGCTGTAACCTTGCTAACTTAACAAAAAAACTTAACATCATTTTCCTCATCTATAGAAATAATAATAATACCTTCCTAAGAGGGTTGTTGTAAGGATTCAATGAGTTACTTCATGTAAAGCAATTAGAACAGTACCTGGCATATAATAGGTTCACAACAAAATGGTTGCTATTTATTATTATTATTTACTTGTATTAACTCATTAAAAGAAATGCCTTTATTTACTCAACTATACTCAGTAGTTTTTCGCTATTTCATCAGTCTTTTCAAAATATATCTTAATATAAGATTTTTAAATGCTTCTTTCTCCGTAACATATAGGTCTGTTTAACCCCCCCCAGTTTTCATCCTAAAATCATCTGGGTTCTGAGAAGAAGCCCCAGCACTCTCATTTGATGTTACATTCGACTCTGCAGATTTATCTTGCCCAAAGTTACCACAATTCTGAGGTGGCCTTTTTTTTTTTTTCCCTTTTTGTCTTTTTTCTTGACCGGCAACGGATCGCAACCCTCAGTGTCACGCCCGGACCAGACCGGGACCGGCTACGGGATCGCAACCCTCAGTGTTGCTCCCGCACCTCGCTCAGCCAGTGAGCGGCCGGTCTGTATGTGGGATCCGAGCCCTGCGGGAGCGCCTCTGCGCTTCCCAAGCGGCGCACTATAGCAGTGCGCCACTGGGCCGGCCCCCTGAGGTGGCCTTTTTTTACCTCTGTTTCTGTCATTTCTGCCACAATCTCATCTTCTTTAAAAACTCGGATGTCAAAATCCTCTGATCCAACAAGAAGCTGAAAGGGGAAAGACCATACACATGTAGTTTAGTAAGTGAACACAGCAAAATTCCCAAAAATAAAACAAAAAATTGCATAGTACTTTGTATGCTGATACTGCCACTAGGAGTTCCAATCCCCCAATAATCCGATGCTCAGGAAGGTTCCCTCTAATGGGAGGGTCAACAGAATAAGTCAGTGAAGAAAAAGTGGCTACTACAGATTTTATCCTGCCATGTGGGCTGCACATCCTGCCAGAATATGTTCTTTCACTGAGCACTTGAAAATGCTGCCTGGTTTAGCAACTTTCCCTGCCTGCAGAGGCCCAGTTTTAAACACCAGAGCTCAGCAACCATGGATGAGAGAGGGGTAAGTTAGTGTCCAACACAGCACTTCACACCTACTGAATGTTCAAGAAGCTAATGTCTAGAGTAACCATTAAAATAATTTCAAGGCATTTGATCATTACACATTGTATACATGTATTAAAATATAACGCTGTACCCCATAAATACACACAATCAATAAGTTTCAACTAAAAAATGATTTTTTAAAAAATAAAAAGAATAATTTCAAGGCTAATAAGAGCTAGTCTCTAAAACTTTTCAGTTCCTGAAAAAGCTGGCCAAAATTGAAAACTTATTAAAATGGTTTCAAAGCATCAGGAGCAATTTATTAAGATTATGAATATGACTGAGGTCCCATCAACTGTTCTGCACTCTCTCCCCTCTCCTCTGTCTTTGAAACATTATGGCCTTGATCTTTGTATTAGAAAACACAAGTGATTTATTATTCAAAGGAGAGGAAAAAGACAAATGAGACAAGTTAGCTCATTATTTAGGCAACAGAGCACAAAAATTAGCCATGAGAAGCTAACAGTGGTCTCCACACTAATGTCGCCATCATGGGAAAATTTATTCAGCTAAACCCAGAAAAGAGGTATCTCCTCCCCCACCTACCTCTTTCTTCCCATCACCGTCAAAGTCACACAAGGCCAAGGAATGAACATTGTCTCCAGTAACCTGAAAATAAAACCAAAAATCATTAATACGCCATCTTTTTTTCTCTTAATCCAAATATATTAGCTACATGATGGAGAGGACTATACAAACCACCAGTGGATGTTATTCACATTACCCATATCCTTTTTTAATGTACAGAATTATAAATATTGTTCTATTTTGTTTTTTATTCACTACAGTCAGTGGTTAAAAAAAAGGAAAACTCAGGCCAGCCCATGGCTCACTTGGGAGAATGTGGTGCTGATAACACCAAGGCCACAGGTTCAGATCCCTATATAGGGATGGCCGGTTAGCTCACTTGGGAGAGCATGGTGCTGACACACAAAGTCAAGGGTTAAGATACCCTGACTGGTCATTTTTTAATAGATAAATAAATAAAAAGGAAAACTAAAGGACATTAGCAATAGAAATACTTAAGAATACCAAAAAGAATGTTTTGTTCTTCATACCGTCCAAAAGAGATCATTTCCTTCATGATCGAAACCCTGCAGAGCACAGTTTCCACCAATAATTGCAAGAGGAGAGGAAATGTCTCCCAATGTCCCCAGCACAATTGCATTTGCCCCATCTGCTACCTAAGAAGAAAAAAAATAATTTCATATAATCCACATAATAAACAAATACAGACACAATCTCAGATACAATGACGTGCAGGCACACTGGAGTTAGTGTATATGCGTATTCTTGTTTGGATACTCAAATTCCTCTGTTATCATTTGTAAGGAGCCACATGGTCTCCTGTGAGGGCAGCCAGGGCTGTCCACTGAGGCCTGTAACGGTGGCTTCTGCAAGGATGAGCATAGATCCAGGGTAAACTCAAAACCCCAGCTCTCATACTAAGCTGCTATGATAATCCAGGGTTCTCTAGGACTGCCAGGTAAATTCTCCCGAAAATCAAGACTTGTGCCTTTAAACCCCCAAGTTTGTAATTTATTTTAATCATTTTGGATAGAAATATTTTTAATACTTATTACCCAATTCTCTTACTAAAAAGTACAAAGAATAAAGCAAACATCCATAATCTCACCATCCAGAATTAATATCTCAGACTTCTTGAATAAATTACATAAGCATAATTTAATTTGTTTTTAGAATATTCAAGGACATCTTTGTAAACACTAACTGTTCGCTGTACAGAATAATTATAATCCTTACATAAATAATCTTTAAGTAGGAAAGCTATAAAGAAAAGATTGGCTGTTAAGGAAAGAAAAGACTTCAGAAGAAATCAAAACTGTTAGATGGCCAATCGACCAAACAATAAAGTTAAAAGGTAAACTTCATCAACTGGGATAAATAACTGCAATGTAGAAGACAAAGAGTTAATATTTTTTGTTAATAAAAGGCAAATAAATACAAAAACAGTAAACATCCCAAGGGGAAAAAAATGAACAGGAAATTCACTAGAGAAGAAATACAGATAGCCAACAAACATGAAAAACGTTCATTTTCACAATATATTTTTCACTTTACAGATTAGCAATGAAAAAAAATAATATCCATTGTTGGTTAAGGTGAGGTAAAAAAGGCACTTTCATATTCTAGAGAGCCATTTAGCAATATCTATCAAAAATCTCATTTAAAAAAGGTTTTTGACTCAGCAATTGTAAAGCTCAGTCCTTGTGTTGTTAATTTCATGTGCCAAATTGGCTACAGCACCCAGATATTTGGTCAAAGACTATTGTAGATGTGTCTATGAGAGTATTTTTTAAATGAGATTAAGATTTAAATCAGTAGACGTTGAGTAAAGCAGAATATTCTCCACAATGTGGGTGAGCCTCATCCAATCAGTTGAACGTCTTAATAGAAAAAACACTGACCTCCTCCAAGTAAGGAAGGATACTGTCAGCAGACTGCCTTTATACTTGAACTTTAATATCAACTCTTTCCTGGGTCTCCAGCCTGTTGCCCATCCCGCAGATTTTTGACTTGCGAGGCTCTACAATCAGGTAAGCCAATTCCTTAAAATAACCTTCCTCCTCTTATATATATATACACATCCTATTGGTTCTGTTTCTCTGGAGAACCCTGACTAACACAGTCCTAAACTCAATTTCAGTCCTGGACAAAAACATAAGAGGAGTTTCTTTGTGATCATGAAGTAGGCAAAGATTTCTTGGAAGAACAGAAAATAACCATTAAAGAAAAAAACTGATCAGCTGGACTTCATCAAAATTGAAAACATTTGCTTATCAAAAGACACATACCTATTGAGATGAGCCACAGACTGGGAGAAAATAGTTGTTATATATAAATCTGACAAAGAACATATATCCAATACAGTTGGTCCTCCATATCCATGAGTTCCACATCTGTGAGTTCAAACAACCATGGATGAAAAATATTCAGAAAAAAACCTGCATCTGTATTGATCATGTACAGACTTTTTTCCCTTGTCATTACTCCCTAAACAATACAGTATAACTACTATTTACATTGTATTAGATATTATAAGTACCTAATACAATACAAATATTTTCTCCCAGAGATGATTTATGTATATGGGAGGATGTGCATAGGAGTATGTGCATATGCAAATACTATGCCATTTTATATCAGGGACTTGAGCATCTGTGTGTATTTTATTATCCTTGGAGGTCGTAGAACCAATCCTGCATGGATACCAAGGGACAATTGTTTATCCAAAGAATGTCTACAAATCAATAATAAAGAGAAAAACTACCAATAAAAAAATAGACAAAAGACTTAGACACCTCACAAAAGACAACACATAAATGGGCAATAAGCACAAGAAAAGGTGCTCTATATCACTGGTCATCAGGGAAATGCGAAATGAAACCAAATAAGATACCATTTCACATGTACTAAAATGGCTAAAATTAAAAAGACTGGCAACATCAAATGTTGACGAATAATGTAGAGCAACTGGAACTCACCCACACTGCTGATGGGAGTATAAAATGGTACAACCACTCTGGAAAACATTTTGTCAGATTCTTACAAAGTTAATCATACATCTACCATACAGCCCAACAATTCCACTCCTAGGTACTTACCCAAAATAAATTAAAACATATGCCCACAAAAAAAATTGTACAAAAATGTTTATAGTAATTTTACTCATAATTGCCCAAAACTGAAACAAACCAAATGTCCATCTCACTTGTCTATCACCAAGAAAATGAATAAACAAATTGTAGTATATTCATATAATGGAATATACTATATTTTTATAACTCATTTTGTCACTAAGAACTACTGACTTTTTTGTTTTGCTTTATTTTTGAAGGCTAGTAAATATGGGGATCCAAACCCTTGTCCTGGTCTTATAACAAGAACTAATGTTATGTGCCATAACATGGACGACTTTCATAGACATTATTTGAATGAAAAAAACCAGACATCAAAGAGTGCACTCTGTATTATTTCATTTGGAGTTCAAAACTAGAAAAAGCTAATCTAAGCTGATAGAAATCAGAACAGTGATTGTCTACAACAAATAGGAATTGACTGGAATGGGACCCAACAATATTTTCTGAGGTGATAAAAATGTTCTATATTTTTATGGAGGGTATTGGTTATAGGAATCAAAACTCATTGAATCTTAACACTTAAGTTTGTGCATTTTACTGTATGTATACTTTACCTCAATTAAAAAATATAAAAAAGAAAAGCATTTGCATTTCTAGGAACTGAATCTTAAGAAATAATCAAGAGAAGTGGGCAAGTATATATGCTTATCACATTATCAACTGTAATACAGAAACAATGAAAATAACATAAATGTTCAACAATATGGAACTGGTTAAACAAATTATGATACATTAACACAATAAAATAGTATGGAGTCAAGAAGAATGATACACGGATATACAGTAACTTCATATAAAGATGTTCCCAATATATTATTGAATGAAAAGCCCACATGTAATAGCCAGGTAATGGAATGTCCATTAACTGATGAATGGATAAATAAAATGTGGTATAAACATAAAATTGAATATCATTCAGTCATGAAAAGGAATGAAGTACTGACACATGCTACAACATGGATCAATCTTGAAAATATTATGCCAAAAAAAAGAAGACAGTCACAAAGGACCACATATTATATGATTCCATATTTATGAAATGTGTAAAATATGCAAATCTATTGTGACAGAAAGTAGACAACTGGTTGGCTAAGGTTAGAAGGTTAAGGGAAAATGGAGAGTAACTACTAATGGGTATGAGGTTTCTTTTTGGGGTAATGATAATGCTTAAAATTGATCATGGAGATAGTTGTACAACTCTCTGAATAAACTAAAAGCCACTAAATTGTATACTTTAAGTAGGTGAATTGTATGGTGTGTAAATTATATCTTAATAAAGCTGTTACAGGAAAATGAAGTAAAAGGCTGCATGTACATAGTATGATCCCATTTTGTAAAAATTTTTACTCATATATACTTAGTAAAAAAATCTGGGTAAATAAATTCAAGAGTTAAGTGTTATTTCTAGAAGAAATTATGGGTACTTTTTTTTCTTTTTGTTTCCCTATCTTTTCTATAAAAATATGAATTACCTGGGTATTAAAGTTGCAGTACCCAGAAGATGGCAGGCTACGGTAATGGCTTCTAAAAACTATTGTACTAAACTTCAATGCAAGACCACCAGACCTGTTTGCTGGCTCCCTATATCTTGGCTGAATTCTCAATAGGAGATCGCGACAGATGGTGGCACCACAGATATACCTCATAGAGACAAGCTGGAGTGTCACCAAGTGATCACCAACCATTACTAAATAAATAAATTCCAAGTACATAAAGCAGATGTAAATGACAAAATTTGCTTGTTATTTAACCACACTATAACAGCCACATATTAAACACACCAAAATAAATGCCTGATCTCTTCCAAACATTAAAAAACCAATGGATATTAATGAGTAAAGGGAATTTTATGGCTATAAAGGATTATACTTGCCTCTCTGTAGAACAAATCTGAATTATTGTAGACATCATAAGCCAAAAGGTTAGTCTGTGTGCCCACTAAAAGAGCATCATAGCCAAGCTCAGGGTTCAATATTCCTGCAGTCAGGCAGCTGACTGCCTGGTTAATGTTGAGAAGAGAAACATCAGACTCCAGGGGGCTCTGGAACACCCTGGATGCACTGAAATGCTGGCTCCGTGTATGAGGATTATGAATAAAAACCTAAAACAGAAATAGTTAATTACATTCCCTTAAAATACCAAGAACATAAAATTAACATCACACATTTTTTAGAAGAACCACATTATCAATAGGTATCAACATTAATAAGATCTCCTACAAAACTTAAAACATTCATACACAGTTCTGTGCATAGCCGACTTTTAGTCATTACAAAATATAGAAATCCAGTGGTTCTTCGTCTTCTAAAGAAAGGCAATGAACAAGACCTAGTTGTTGCTTACGAGAGCACCTTACATGCTACCCACCAGCAGAATGTCAAAGCACCCTTACAAACCAGCCTTTTCCTGATCAACCTATTGGAAGCTGCGACCAGTTTCAATGTGATTGCTATACCCCAAGATCACAGAAAACAGAATAAACACTTCCTTTAGTATCTTTTATCTACGCACCTAATAAATTCAATTCCTAACCTTTAAAACAGTCTGGTAGTTAGTAAATCTGTTTTACAAACTTAAACTGAGTCATATAAATCGAGTTTCTTGAAGGCCATCGTAGTTTATACAACACAAAGAATTAAGTAATTAGCCCAAATATAATAAATTCAGCAATTTCAACTATCATCAATACAATCATCTGTGTGTCTGCATAAATCATTCAACTTCCTTGGGCTTCATCTGTAAAAAGGAGGTTTGGACTAGAAAATGCATTCTCAAGAAGGGTAATATCACTCCTAAGATGTGTAACTGGTTTGAGGTGGGGGAATCTTAAATATTAGAATGGCTTGTGGCCCTCCTCAGGACCATAGTACAAAAAGAGATCTATAGTATATCTGTGGTATTAAAATTTCACTGGGGAAATCTTCATCATCTAAAAAAAGCTCCATGGGGGACAATATGAAAAAAAGGTGGGGTATGGGAAACATTAGACTAGAGATCCCTTAAACCCCTTGTAGTTCTAAAATTAGCTAATTTTAAATGAGTAGTTCATTTCTTTGGTATAAATCCAAACAGGATTAATTTTATTACCTACACAAGATAGCCTATTGAACAAACAATAATTTTCAAAAGAACAGAACAGAAACATACAGAAAATGTGTGCAACTACTGAATATTGCCTTCATGTTCTCATTTGTGTGACACTTTATAACATGTTTTTATAAGCATTAATTGCATTTGATCTTCACTCCAACCCGATTTACAGATGAGGCCAGAAGGGTTAAGGCCCTTTCCCAAGGTCTCGAGACTCGCAAGTAACAGGACTAAGACACGAAGCCTGGTGTGCTCCCTACCCTATGTTCTAGCCACCACATCACGCTTCCTTTTAACAGTTCTGAACAAAAGAATTCTTATAGAGTTTTCTAGTAATTAGATATGTTGAGAAAGAAAAGTAAGGGAAATAACTTATGCGCTCCATATTCATTGTTACTGGAATAGAAAGAGTTTGCTATTTTTGCTAAGAGGAATAAGAGTCCCAGGAGTGAGACTTCTCAGTTCCCCACCTGCTGTTCTCTGCACATGGAAATCAAAGTACCCCGGGAGACCCACCTGTCCCTTCAGGCAAAGAAAAGGCCAAGCTCAGTCACATGACAAATGGAACACTCCCAGTGCCTATTTTTTAGACTCTTTCCAAAGGACTAACTGAAGTTCACACATTTGTTCAAGCTGAAAGGGTGCTGCTGACAATACAAATTCAACTGATCCCCTTAGCTCCATGGTGAGAGAAAAAATGTCCCCAGAGGAAAGCACTAACTTTCATCCTGCAAGAAACCCCTTTTTAAAATATGCTTGCTTAAGCCCAGAGTCAGCTCCATATTCAAAACAGGGTCCCAGACGTAATGATGAAGTCCTGTTTCTAGAAACCCAGGCCCTAGCTGTCAGAGGGCTTTAACCTTAACTGGAATATTTAATTGTTTTTAAAGAAGAATATATTCATGTGTTACTTGGATCATAAAATATTACTACTTTTTTTTTCAATACTCAAGATAAAATATCAGAACTTTTCAGATTTGTTTAAAGTCCTGAACTCAAATTATCCAATTACATAGGACACAAGACCTTCTTTTTTTTTTTTTTTTTCTTTTTTGGCCAGCTTCAGAAACAGCCCTAGAATCAAGTGTTCCTGACTCCCACTCTAGGTCACACTCTAATATAAGGACTTCCACAGAAACCTCCACCTGATCTCCCTACATCCTGCTGCAGTACATCCTCCAAATACTGGCCAGAGTTATCCTTTATCTAAAACATAAAGCAAATCCATTGCCTGCTTTATCAAAACCCTGTGGCTTCCCAACATACTCAGTATAAAATCCAAGGTCTTTACTATTACAGCATACAGTGTCAAATGATCTGGCCCGTGGCTACCTCCCAGCTTCCCTCATTCCGTTCCAGCCCCAGCAGCCTCCTGCATTCCTGGAACATTCCAACCATATCTCCACCTCAAGGCCTTTGCACTTGCTGATCCCCTCTGCCTACAAAGCACTTATCCCACATTTCTGCAGAGTTTGTTTCCTCATTTCTTTCAAACCTCTGATCAAATGTTATGAGGTCTGTCTAATCACCCTGTCTAAAATAGCAAGCTCCCATCATCCCCATCTTTTTTTTTTTCCTCCTGTGGAGATATTTCTATATATTCTGTCAACTGTCTGGCTCCCCCTTTCAAATGTAAGCTCTAAGGGGGTAAAATTTGTCTGTCACATTCACCATTGCATTTGCAGAGCTAAGAACAGTGCCCAGCATGTAGTAAGCCCTCAAACTATTGTCATTACATAAATGTCAGCTTATTAAATCCACACTGGGTCAAAGAACATGCACTCTAATCTCACTTCCACTATTTTCTAGTTGAGTGGCCTCAGGCACTGCTTTAAACCTCTCTGAACTGCTATTTCTAATCATTAAAGTGGAAGTTACAAAAAGAAAGTAATCACAGCTAGCCATTAGTGAGTGACCGCTTCCTATATGCCAAAGGCTTCACATGTATTAATTTATTTAACCCTCACAACCCTATGCGTTCGGTAATAATATTAAGTACCTTGCCCAAGGTTATGAAATTACTGGAGCCGGGATCCACACCTGTGCTATGCTGCTGCTCTTGGCCTTGCAGCAAAGATGCTGAGATAATTAATGTAATGAGGCTTTGTACGTGTTAGAAGTTATTACCCTTGGTATCACTGCATTCCATGTATTTTGGGCATACTTTTATCAACACACAGCGCCATGATTTGCCTGTCTGTTGTCCTTCAGGACTATAAGCTTTCTGAAGGCAGGGACTCCAACTTTATCCCTGAATTCCCAACATCTAGCATAAAAGAGGCGTTCAGTAGAAGTCTGGTCAATGTTAAATGACCATGTCTTTTTTCTCTCTGCGACTCTCACACTTTGCACAGTACCTGGCATAGAGTTCGTACCTAATAAATCCTTAGTGAACAAACTACGGGCAAAGACCTGAATGTACATGGACAAAATGCAAAAGTGCAATTTGAGTCATTTAATTTAGGGATCTCAGTATTATTTTTTTTTCTTTTTCCCTGTAAAGTAGTGTGAGAGAGTGTAAATAGCTCCAAGTGACAGGCAGAGGCCCTGAGCTTGAATCTGAGATCTGCTATTACTGCTAAGCCTGGCTAAGCCCCTTCTCTTGTGGGGACTTCTCCCTAAGCTCCCTATCTGTCCAGGGACTCCCAACACTGTCCGAATCCAAGTGTCTGACAAGAAAACGTCAACTGTTCAGAAAAGCCGTTCCTGAAAGACCCCCTTATTCTTGGCACGATGGACAGCTACCGGTGACTACCGACCGGTTGCCGGGAAACCCGGGCGGGGGGCGGGGTCGGAGCGGGATCAGCGGGTGCGGCCCGCGGAGTCGTGGGGTCCCGAGGCGCCCGGGCTCTGTGCGGGTGGGAGCGGTTACCTTGCCCGCTTGCGTGGCGGCGGCCAGGCACGGGTGAGTCCCGTCGTAGCGCCCTATGGCCACCATGCGGGGGCTGATTTTGTGGCGCAGTTTCAGGGTGAACACTGGCAGCAGCATGATGGCGGTGGCTCAGGGGAAAGGGGCTGGCAGCCCGAGGCCGGCGCAGCGGAGCCGGCCTCACCCGCCCCGGTGAGGGGCACGGAGACAAGATCCTCCCGGCCCCGGTGGCCACAGGCCCGGCGCGAAGAAGAGGCTGACCGACCTCGCTCTTCTGCCGCACCTATTTCTGCGACTGCGCGGACCCGCCCAGCCCCTTCTGCGGCTGCGCAGTCGAGACTCCGTGCAAGGCTGCGGCTGAAGTTGCTCCTCTCAGTGATACAGGGCGCTTAACTGTCTTGTGCTAAATCCAGTTCCACTAGCGTGTCTGCAGTGGTCGTGCCGAGTCTGAACCAGTGCACTCCCTTTCTAGCACCACAGCCAAGCTGCACCCCTGCAGACTCCAGTCACCGCTACCCCATTACAAAGGGTCATTAATTCAAGAAATAGTTCTTGAGTGTCTACTGTCCTTTGCGTTAGCCGTTGTTATGTCGAGGCAAAATCACAGCAATTACCTGCACTAAACATACCAATCATTTTTACAAAAGAAGAAATACACGCTCTAGACTCACGTTTAAATAGTCCTGTGCCCCTTGTAAGACTCCCGTATATTTTTAAATGCAAACATGCATACCTGAAAAGTCGTGACCATTCTTTTTTTTTTTTTTTTTTTTTTTTTTTTGAGGGCCTACTGTATGTCAGGCACTGTTCTAGACAATAGAGATAAATAACAGTAAAAAGATAAGCCAATGCTCTCAAAGAACAAGAAGAACAGTAGTAGGTCATTTGGTGGCAAGCACTATAGAAAAAAAGTAAGGAGAGGAAGAAGGGATAGTTAGAGGGAATGCAATTTTAAATAGAATGGTAGAAAGACACCTCACTGAGAAAGTGACATTCAGGCAAGAACTTGGTCAACCACAGTAAATGACCACCTGACAGATATAAAACCAAGAAAATGTTTAGAGAACTCTAAACAATTCTAAAACCAGGCAGCACTCTACACCAAATATGCATCAGAATGCTCCACCCCACCACACATGCAGGTCATATTTATAGCCAAAGAAAAGAAAGTGACATACAGAAACGCCCTGATTGGCTGCAGTTGGCATTTGCCCTATATAATCATGTTTTGGCAGCTTTCGGGCTCATATTGGCTGGAGGTTCAGTTACTATGATTGCTGAGACTCAGCTACCTGTTATAAGAGTATTCTTCCAGGTTAGGTTATGGTCCATTTACACATCAAATTGGGTTACATTTCATTATGTACAGAGAAACCTTTAGGCCAAACTCAAAATATATATGGAGGCAGTTTTAGGCCAAACTTGTTCCAGAATGTTCTCAGTTAAGCCATGCAACAGACATTAGACATGAAATCAAAGAAGACCATTTTATCTGGCAATAAGCCTGACGTGCTGGGGCTCAGAGAAGTCCTCTCAGAGGAAGTAACATTTGAACCAAGAGTTATATGTCAAGAAAGTGGCAGCCGTCAGAAGATGTGAGGGAAGGACATTCCAGACAGAAGGAACAGCAAGGGCAAAGGGCCAGCACGGACATGTTTGAAGATGAGAAAGAAGACAATGTGGCTGGAGCCTAGTGTGTGAGAAAGAGAGGTCAGCAGGAGCCAGATCAGCTAGTGCTTGTGGGTCACACCAAGGAGCTTGGGTTTCACCTTTAGCAGGCAGAAAAGTCCGTGGCCTGCTGGATTTCCGTGTAAGGCTGGTCTTGGCCTCCATCCACCCAGCCAAGCCTCACTCACTCTACGTACTGCGTTGGTGGCCTGCAAATTTGCGGTTGCTCATTCTAACAAGACATTACAATCATCAGCATCAGCATCATTAACAATTATTGAGCATTTTCTAGGTACTATTCCAAAGTACTTTGTATGGATCATGTCACTTAATCCTACAATAAACCTATGAGATAAGTACTATTGTTATCCCATTTTACAGATGACAAAACTTTTACCATCATCATCTCCTTTCTCATGTCTGACAGCCTCTCTCACTACTGTTTCCACATTTAGGAGGTAACCACGCTGCCTCTGTGCTTTCATGAGATCTCCAGCAATCATATCCCTTACCATATTGCGGGTATTTGAATTTTTGGAGCACAACCCTAATTAGAATTAGCAAGGATGCCCAGAGGGTAGGGAATCTCACATCCTCCCTGTCTAGCACTGATCAGGGCAGGGAACTTGAGGCCCAGAGCTTACCCTCTCCTGTCAACAGTCACAGAGTCTTTTCTTCCACCCATGACCTACCAGGAATCACTGGCTCTTCAGAGGGGACACCTGTCATCCTCACATCAGTGAGAGCTGGGGCTCCTGAGGACCCAGGACTTGACAGGGGGTGGAGGAGGGAGAGGAGTTGGGAGTTGGTGGGTTCTAGAGAGGTAGTACTATAATGGTACTAGAGAGGTAGGTAAGCCCCTGAGCCTCAACAGTATGTAGACCTGGGTTCAAATTCCTCCTTCATCTGTCACTAGCTGAGACCTGAGCCCATTATTTTATTTTAACACTTACATTTATTGAGTGCCTTCTCTGTGCCAGGAACATGAAACACAATAACTCATTTAATCCTCATAGCCGCCCTCTGAAGGAGTCACTGTCATCATCCCCATTTTACATGAGAGCAATCCAAGTCGTGGGAAGTTCTATCACCTAAGACCAAGGTCACACAGCTGGTAAGTGACAGAACCAGGATGGCAAGCCCAGGTGGTCAGGCTCCAAAGCCTGAGCTCCTCGTCACTGCACTATGCTGCCTCCTGCACTGAACTTCCTTGAGCACCAGTGTCCTTGTCGAGAAAAGGGAAATGGTAACAGTACTACTGAGTGTTGTGAAAATTAGATGAACTGATGCAAAGTGCTTAAAGCAATGCCTGGCACCTAATAAGTTCTCCCATAAATGGTTATTATTATTACCTCTAGGTAAAAGGACTGTCTTTGACTGGGTCAGGGTCATTGTTGTAATAAATTTGGTTTCTTTTTACTTTTTTTAGTAGGTTCCATTGTTCCTGGTTTCCTTTCAGCCTTGGAATTAGGAAACCAACCTAGCTAGTCCTGTTTCTAGTGGGACTAAGTCAAGACCAAAATTTTAGATCCTGATTTGTTGGTAAAGGGGACTTAGTCCACACCCTGCTGCCTGCCACTCCCTCTCCTTGTCCTCACCTTGAGTTTGCAAAGCAACCCCACTAGAGGGTGTGCAGGTATAAAAAATGGAGATTCAGGCACCTCAGGATTCGGATTAAAGGCCTGGAGGGAGGTTGGGTGGGAAGGACGCGGGAAGGGAGGCCTCCAACAGTCAGTCGCAGGCATTACCTCTGAGGGATGGACTGGGACAGGGAGGCCATTTGAAGAAAGATTTTTGCCTTTTTCTTTATGCACTGCAGTGTTTGCTGTTTTCACAGCAAGCTTATTTTACTTTTGTAATTTAAAAAAAGAAAAATTTTAAAATAAAGTAGCGTGAGTATGGGGCTGTCTGCGGATTTCAGGGATTCTGTTCCCCACCCCTGTTGCCCCACAATCTACCTATAAAGGACCCCAGTCATATGTTTCCCCAAAACTTTTTTTTTTTTTCAAAAGATGACCAGTAAGGGGATCTTAACCCTTGACTTGGTGTTGTCAGCACCACGCTCACCCAGTGAGCAAACCGGCCATCCGTATGTGGGATCCGAACCTGTGGCCTTGGTGTTATCAGCACCGCAGTCTCCCGAGTGAGCCACAGGCCAGCCCTGTTTCCCCAAAACTTTAAGGGGAGTGGCTATTAGGACCCCTCTGCAATCCATGGTGGGGCAGGTTCCAGGAGACCACTTGTACTAGAGCAGGCCACACAGGGCCTGGCTCTGTAGAACATTTTGCCCCAGCTTCCCCTCAGGAGCAACCCCCTGGCATCCCATCCTTTGATTCTCTCATGGCCTGACTCCCGTTTTAGAACTCCTGGTAACTGGGATATGTCTGCTGTGGGCTGTGGGGGTGAGGCTGTCCATGGTGGTCTGTTCTGTCAGCCCACTTCACACATGTGAGAAATGAGAAAATGAAGAATCATACATTCAAAGTCACTTAACAGCATGTCACATATGAAAAAACAGAAATAGTCACCTTCTGGTCAGTAGATAAGGGGGAAAGCTACCTATAGTAATAATAATAATAATAATAGCTAACATTTGTTGAGCACTTACTATGTGCCAGACTGCTAAATTCTTTACTTATATGAGGGTGCTTCAAAAAGTTCATGGGAAAATAGAATTAAGAGATAATAAGAATTATTATCTCCTTTTGAAGTATCCTCATATTATCTCACTTAACCTTCACAATAATCTTTTTTTTTCCTTTTTGTCTTTTTTCGTGACCGGCAACGGATCACAACCCTCAGTGTCGTGCCCGCACCGGACCGGGACCGGCAACGGGATCGCAACCCTCGNAACCCTCGGCGGGAGTGCCACCGTGCTCCCAAGCGGCGCACTGTAGCAGTGCGCCACTGGGACGGCCCCTTCACAATAATCTTGTGAGATAATCTTATCCCCATTATACAGAAGCAGAAACTAATTTCAACCTCAAATTCCACCTGCCCCCACACATCCTACCCACAAAGTGGTAGGAAATGCTGTCAAAGTTAGTGTTAGGTACCCCCATCTGCCACCTCAGAGGCACATCAGAACCAGGGAGACCTAGTGGTGCCAGAAAAGAGGGGAGAGTGGTCTGTGACCTCAAGTCTCTTATGGTTGCTGCCAATATCCTTGTCCAAGCTTCCAGTGGCTTCTTATGGGGAATTCTCCAATACATCCATGGGCTCAAAGCTCCCTGGAGAGGCCACGCATCCCAGTGTCCAGGGTCCCATATCCCTGGGAGAATCATTCAGCCCTCCTCTTGGGGCTCCTGGCACATCCCCTGGTGAGGCCAGGCTCCACGATGTTTCCTAGAGGTTTGTATCTTAAGTCTGTGTATAATCTCAGGAAGAGATGCTGAAAGTTAGACTAAGTGAGACATACTTACTAAAGTTGAATCACTCTGGGTCTTGAATTT